CATGGTCCCTCAACAAAGTCCTCCTTTAAAGCAACCTCATATGTTTTAACATGACGTGCATCTTTGTTATCCTGTAAGAAAGAGCGAAAAATAAAAGGAAAAACATATGATTAACTCTGTATTTCGAAGTAAAACTTAGTATATGAAATAAATGCAAGAGAACTAGATCATTACAAACAAATATAACTGAATGACACAATCCTAATGACTCGAATGTAATGACATGCAAAAACACTCTTTCTTTAGTAATTTTAACCAAGTTTTCTGTAAGTATTTAGCTCAAGGCTACATCAATAAATTATTTTTTATGCCTAAAATAAGAAGAAAAATTAGTGAGAGGGAGAGGGAGTGCCCATAAGTCCACAATATGTATTTACTAGGAAAATGGAGACCTGGTATAGAACTACAATTGTAGGCTTTAAGCAACCGTAAAGAAATTTGATATCCAAAACTTGAAGTTCCTCAAGCCTGAACTATAGGGAGAAATCATAAGTACCAAGCATATTGCATTGAAGCGGTATCTGGTGCATATTTAATTGAACATAACATCAAGTAATATAAAAAACTAGGTTTATAATGAAATATAAGCCACAACTATAACTGTAGCTAATCGATGAAAATTAGATTATTTTAGCAAAAAATTAAGCAATATGTAACAAAAAGAATCTTGTATTTGTCAGAATGACTGGAAAAGAGGAAAGAAGAATACCTTATATTAAATGCTTCTTTTTTTTGATAGGAATTGAAGGCCTCATTAAAAACCTCCTTCTTGATTATAGAGACTTAAAGAGAAGCTCCTTAATCAGCGGAAGGAGGAAAAGAGTGCCTTAGGATTTCATTGAACATAAGAACACCAAAATACATCCAGATATCGACCCCGTACATAAAACAAAACACCATAAAACAACCAAAAAACACCCCCATAGCAGCAACAGTAGCTCAACCTAATATCAACCACAACAGCCTCTAAAGGACTGACCCAACTAAAAGTCTAACTCGACTCGGAGAGCACCAGAAAACAGAACACCTAAAAAAGAGAGAAAAAAATGACAGTTGACTCAAACCATAGTATCCAAAATAAAACACAGACATCCAGGAGCTTCCATCAGAAAACCAAACTATAGACTCTGGCTCCAAAGCTGGAAAAATGGAATCATAGTCTGGCTCCCAGAACAGACAAATCTCCCACACATTGAACCTTCTACTGCTGCTTGATTTGGCTGTATCAGGCCATTAATTGGGGACCCGAAACTTTCTCTGCTAACCCCGATATATCTCTGCCATCCAGCCTATCAACCACCGCCCCAACCTGTTGGGCATCCCCATCCTGGTGGGCCTCCACACCCTTGGAACTATTAAATGCTTCTTTGAGTTGCCCTTTATTATCGAACGAAATAACCTGAGACAACAAAAAACCATAATGCACAACATTTTCTGGAAATGCAAATAGTGTACAAAAAATTACATAGACTTTATGATGGAATTGCAGCATCTGGAGCTCATACCTTAAACAACCCATCATATAGATGAAGTCCAATTAACCTACAATAAGGATCTATTATGCCAATCTGCATAGAATGCAAAGAAGTGGAAGGAATCAACGATTTTTTATGGAGAGTTTGACGAAAATTATCCTAAACAACTTTGCAGTGTTGAGAAACATTTGCATCCACAGCAGGTATCAGTTTCTTATGAACAAAAATTACCTGTCCATTGTCTGTGGGGCGACCAATACGGTCTGAAACATCCCCCATAGCTCTGCAGGCAATAGCACATGGTATAAGCTTCAATAATGTTTACTAAAAAACAAAAAACAAAAACACACCCCACAAATTCTCGTAGACTTCATCATGGCAAATTGCATCACTAAAAGACTTATATCCAAAATTTTGAGGAAAATAACAAACAGAAGATACAAAGCAGAAAGACGAGATAAAATTCCCCACAGCTTTATGCCATGTACACACAGCATCTGTCCTCATCATCAAACAATGCAGGTGCAGCAGCATAAGAAAAATTGTGTCAAAGTGTAGGAAAAATGTTAACAAACAATAAAGGTATTAAAGAGAAGAATTCCCCACAGATATTAGTAGAAACAAAATCATAACTAATCGAACAAGCAAACAACTAAGGCTCATCTTTAAAAATAATAATAAACTAAAGGTGCACCCAATGTGAGATTGATACCAAAAGCCTAAAACTGATCGTTCAAGGCAGAATCAGTGCTGCAATACAAAGTATGCACACATCAAGTCGGACAATCCGACAGATGAGCAAAACAACAAAATGAATGTAAGTAATGTGTACATATTCTTGTTTAAACCTTGTAATAAGCTCAGATGTCTCAGCATCCCATTGGACGACGCAGAATTTGTACCGTTCGGTCGAAATAAATAGAAAATCCTAAGTCCCACCCTGCAAGGTATCACATAATATATATCATTAAATCACAAATTATCACATTAAGTCTGAGGAATATGTATAATAATTATAGTAATAAAGATATTTACTCACATGAGGACGGAAAAGTTCAAGTGTAGCAATTCTTCCATATATTGGCACATCCAACATAGGCTGCAACACAAGGCAAGACATAAGAATCATAAATGCAAATACAACAACAACAACAACAAAACCCTATTCTCATATGTAATGGGGTTAGGGGAGGTAGGATAGTAAGTTGTCCCCAACGCCAGGTTGAGAGCAGCTTCCGTGGAAGACTTCCGGCAATCAGAAAAATTTTAAAATAAAGATAAAATACAATGCATGTATAAATAAATAAATAAATAAATACATAGTTGAACAGTCTTCATATACAGTCTTTATATGCGCATCTGTAATGGGAAGTTATCCCTGCAAATAAATCCCTACGTACAAATCTCTGAATATAGACAAAAAAAACATAAGTCCCGAATAAATTTAAAAAACGAAACATGAGAAGGATATACAGAAGTCAGTAGTTGCAAGCTACGATAAAAGAATAATGTCAAATGGGTTAAAACCTAAACTAATGCAATACGACTCCGCTATCCTAGTTCTAACCCTTCAAAAATTCCCATAATAGAAACGTATTAAAAGTAAAAGTCAAGAAAATTACTATTAATGCATTAAAAAGAAGGCAGAGATGCTACACCCTATGGTTGTGACCCACGCTACTCTGTTACCCTGGTCTTTAAGTCTTCATACTTTACTATCAGAGGTCATGTCCTCGATAAGGGCTAAATTCTTTAAATCAGATCTCAAGCAGTCTACCCACTTACAGACGCCTAAAAAGAATCATAAATGCAAATGATTATCAAAATTCCACTAATTGACATATCAAATTCCATTCAAAATAGGCACCTGTAATCCCTGCTGGGTAAGCAAACTGATTTCGATACGAGTACATCTCCTGCGAGCAAGCAGAATAAAATTTAATCGAACGAATACTAAAAGGCACCTAAAAGAAATTGTTCGACTATGTTAAACCCTAACATTTTTACGATCACAAAAATATGGAAATACATAATAATCGAATAGAGAAAGAAAATTACGTACGCAACGATGAGATTAAGCTCTTGAGGACTGGTGAAGTTGCCAACGCAAGAGTGGGTAGCGTTCGTGGGCTTGTGAGCCGTCACGACGTAGTTCCATACACTCATGTTCCTTTTTGTCTTCGGATCTCTATACCAAAGCGCCAAGCCCTAAGGGCAAGTGTATAGCAGCAGAGTTTATTTGTTCTTTTTTTAATTTTTTTTCTGGAAAGATTGCGAAGCTTTTAGCCTTCTGGCTTCTGGTGTGGTGGCTTCGCTTTGTTGTTGAAGAAAGAAATGCTGCTGCTGCTGCTGCTGCTGGAGGGCCTTGGCGCACGTGTAAACGGTATTAAGGTAACGCCGCATGGTTTAATTGCTAGCTTTATGTTACTTTTGGTTCACGGAATATAAAATTATCCCGGGAATAAGATTAACGTAATGTAATATTACCTAACACATTACTGATAATATTACATTATTGTGTTTGGTTTGTTTGGCAAGAATATAAGATTATAGTGTTTGGATGAAAGAATAAAATATTACTAGAATGAATATTTTATCAAATTATTCTTATTCTATATTTTTTAACAAGTAAAATTCTAAATATTTAAATAAAAATTATTTATATAAAAATTCATCGATAATATATTACTTGAGTATTTAAATATATCATGTATTATTTTAATTTTAATTAATATTAAATTTTACATAATTTATGTAAAAATATATTAAAATTTTACATCAACACAATGAACGAATCAAAACTGAACAATACTGTCTTTCCCGGGAGATCGTCAACATTATAGCATACGAAGGGCCTGAAAGAGTGGAACGTCATGAACTTCTAGGCAAATGGAGATCAAGGTTTATTATGGCTGGCTTTACACCCTCTCCATTAAGCTTATTCGTCAACAATACCATCAAAACTCTGCATGGAGATGATGTTATTTGGAAAAAGAAAACATCACAAAAACATGAGATTAGAGCTTACTTTGTAACCATGTCATTTCTAGGGATGCAATGTAAACAAGGTGTTTCTAGAATTAAATGTTAGTGGTTAATTGTTGCAGCTTGTCTTGTTTACGTGTTTTCCACTCTGTAATGTTAACATTTCATAGTTATGGATATTGATAGGTATGGCTCATAAATATACTAGTAAAGAGGACAGGGGATGTGGGGGCGCAGCCTTGTGCCCCCGCGGTACGGTACAAGGTTAATTATGTAATTATGTACCAGATTTTTTATTATAAATAGAGATGTAACATAAACCTATGAGACATTGAATAAAACTTCTAGTGCTGCCTAGACACCGAAAACGTAAGCATATTGCCAAACCTCGTTAAAATTCTTATGTTCTTTCGTTTTCTTTTTCCGATTCTTCGACAGATATGTTCTTTTTGTGGATATGATGTTAGCTGGTCCATTTGCCTGAAAACGTTCACATTTTAGTTAAAAACGACGACAAAACGCTCACATTCTTAAGATATAATAGAAAATATATATTGTATTTCTTACAAATTCCATTACAAGAACTTGTTTTACAAACACTTTCCTGTGAAAAATAAAATTGTATCCGTTCCACTTTTGTACAAACTCCCAAGTTTAATACAAATAGTGATTGGCAACATAACAAAATAAGCTGAAATGGTAAACTAATACATACATATATACATATGTATATAGTAGGAAAATTCCAGATTTTCAGAAGACGAATCTTTTCTTTTACCAGTGAAAAAGATGGGGGGAAATGAATTGCTGTCCATATTTTTTATTCAGCCACCTTCATTGTTAACAGATTTATGGACCTGTTATTATTCTTCCCATGCTCTGTGGCAATGCATAAGAATGGTTTAGGGGTGCAATTCCAACACCACGCCCTTCACTCGGATTTTCTCGAGATCCATACTGATTCATGTCGCCATAGTATGTTGCCAGCGGAGTAGGTTGAACTGTGTTGAAACCATTCTGAGGGCGGTATTGGGCCAGTTCAGAATGCAATCGTTGATGCTCATTTGAAGTATGTTCGGGAACGGAATTAATGCCAACACCAAGATCAAGGCTGATGGCACCATTTTCTTCTGATCTAATCCTTGATGGTCCTGCTGTATCATGACTACTGGTCTTTGCAGTAGGCACATGCACATCGTGATTGTGTTTTCCCTCGTATGTGGTTATAACAGCTTTTGGATCATGAGACGCCCTCTCAACGTGTTTTCTAACAGGGCAACCGGCATTCGTGCACTTATAATAACTCCTACATGAATAAGCAAGCAGAAAATATATCATATAATGTAAGAAACCATAAAAAAATAAAATAACAAAAAGCTATGGTCAAGAACAGTCTTGTGCAAACGACTCTTGAATATGAGCCTTGAAATCAACAAGCAACGTAACCATACACAAAATAACAAAAATTATAAATAATGCTCGAAGATAAGCTGAATAAAAGATCCTAAAGCAATCAAGTATCATATCTAATTTATGACAAGGCATGAAAGCTAACATGCATCAATCAGAGTTTTATGCCGGTAAGCAGCCAATATGGTGTTTCAAAAAGCTGTATGTCGAAACAGATGAGCTTCTTAAAAGATCTGAATTGTAACTTATGACATTCTAACTCTATAATAATCGATTCAATGATACATACCTAGGATTAGGATTTCCTCGTACTACTTTTTGCCCATATTTGCGCCATCGGTACCCATCATCCAGTATATCAACTTCACTCAAGGTCTGAACAACAACGCGTGGTTCCCGGATTGGCTTCACCACAGTAGTGATATCAATCCCACCATCCATCTTCCTGCTCGTAGTTTGCTAGTAGCATTAGCAACCAGACAAATCCAAAAAATAGAAGCATAAAAGCGTCTACTGACCAATACAAATTAACAATACCTCCATTTCGAGAACGGGTCATCATCTTCAATCTCAACTGAAAACGTTCTGCTCCAATTATTATTATTTTCTCTGTAACTGGACTTGTGAAGATTTTCTGCTAGCTAGGGGTGTCAAAGAGTAAGTGTGGCCGCTTAGGTTTCGTTAAATAACCAGTACAGCACGCAATGCATCTAGTACTTGAAACTATATCTGATTTGCAATTAGTTTAGACTTGAAAAAACAAAACTCTGAATTGAAATCCCATCAGCTTAAACTATAGTTTTTAATTTTAGAAGAGAGAAATCCCTGGATTCAAACTAGTGCGAATCGAAAACGAAAAGTGAAAATCACAATCGAGAAAGTAAATGATAAACGAAGAGAGAAAGGCTCAAACATGGAAAGGCATTGCATGAAAGAAAACATTTATGCATTCCAATTCACACACAGAGATAAAAAATCGTTCCTCGCAACACTAAAAAAACCCAGATCCAAAATCGTTTCTTTCCACCAACAGAGAAAAAAAAACATTTTTCAAATAGGGAGAGAGACGAACCTGACAAGAGATTAGCAGATACAGCAACACATAAGAAGAAGTTCATTGGAACAAGAGACAACTCCTCATAACAACTCTCGCCAAATCGAAGAAGAAGAATATTTTCTTTCAGCCAAAGCAAGCTAACGGGAGGGGTATTTTAGCCAACAGAGGACGGGTATTAACAAATACCTAAGAGAGATGAGTGACTGATATTCCCAGTAAAACAGGAAAAAGAACTCACTGTTGGTATTCAATGTTACCCTCACTTGGGAATAATAACCATCCAAACGTAGGTATCTTAAACGGAAAAAAAGATTCCTTCCAAGAATGTTTTAATCCGTGAATCAAACATGACCTTAGTATTTTTTTCTTCCCTTCATTTACGTCATTCCGTTTTAATTATGTCATTAGATATAAAAAAATCATCATTAATTTAATGATTTTAATTTATTTAATTTATTATAATGAATTAAATTTTCTTTTGATTAATAATACAATTGACAGTATCTGTTCTAAAGACTCTAAAACATTTTATAATAAACATTTAAGTATCATGCAGTCGTCAGTGTTTGAATTCATAGCTTCTAAGAATAAAAATAATCTTCTTAATTACTGAAATGATTTGACTTAGGCATTTTATTGACTCAAATTAATAAAAGCATATGATTATATTAAATTATTAATCTTTGTAATATGAAGAAAGAAAAATAAACCATTCTAAGTTAACTTTTTTTTAATATTTTTTAGAATTTTAAATTATTTATTAATGTGATATAGAATAAATAAGTTTATATACAAACTTGAAGTAGGGATGATTATGGATTAGACCGAACCTTTGTCCCATCTGAATCTAACTCAAAAATTAAACTCTTCCGTTTGTATTTGATTTAATTCGAATTTAAGAAAATCTTACTCAAATTTAAAATTTTGATTTAATTTTTTAGATCAAACTTCGCACCCAATTTGATATATATATATATATATATATATTAGATAAAATAAGAAACTAATTAAAAAAAGTATTATTGTAATTATCTCAATATAACTCTAAACTCAAATATGATCCAACCTGATTCGAACTCAAATCCTTAAAATAAAAATCAATTTAATTGAATCGAGTTGAGTCGAAATCCATCAAATACAAGTGAAATAAGTATCCCTAACATGGAGTATATGTGAATTATTAATTTAAAATCGTTAAAAATCAATATTTTTTAATAAACATTTTGTTTAAAATGATGATCTAAACATTAATAACTAGTTGGTTTAGTGAGATGAACATTAAACCCTTCAAATAAGATTAAGAGTTTAAATATTAACATTGTAAATAGACCAAATTGAGTTGAGATATTGTTTATGTTGTATAATTTAAATTAATAGATTAATAAATCATATATATATATATATATAATTAACTAAAAATGGCAAGCTATAAATTGATAAATTAACCAGATATTTTAAGACAATATTTTTAAGGTAAATTATGTGTTTAATAACTAAATTATTAATTTTGACCCGTTTTAATATATAAACTTTTAATTTTTTCAAAACTTTAAAACTTTCGTTTCTGCTTCATTTTAGTACATGTTAAAAATTTAACTTTAAGTTTTGAAAAAATTGAAATTTTAGGCAATAAAACAGACTAAAATTGATAGTTTAAATACTAAAAGCATTAAGTTTTTAATGGAGAGATAGTAAAATGAAATGAAAACTAAACGCGGAGTATAATTTTGAAAAAATTTAAAAGTTTAAGTACTAAAATAGACCAAAACTTATAGTTTAAGTACTACATGTGTAATTTACCCTTTGCTTTATAAAGAAGAGGAGCTAAATTAGATTTACATATTTATGGATTTGATATTCTTTTGCTTCTTTAATTTGCGAAGGTAGTTCTTGTTCACTGTTCAGGAAACGATATGAGCAATGTTGGTGAGGAATAATCAAATTGTACAAAACTACAAACCACTTTTTATTGTGAAAATACACAGAAACGGCATAAGAACATGACTGTTGAAAACAGATGCCTAAATCTCGTTTCTAAAGAGCACCGATGTTCTTGAGCCCAAGCACCACCCCAACGCCGATAATGTGGCCAACACTGCCACAAGCCAACGTGTCTGCAAGAGTAAAACCAGCCGGGTCGCCGGTCTGCAAGCCCGAGTCCCTTGCTTCGAGCTTCAGTCCAGCGGTGGCCTTCCGGTTTGCCGATGGAGCCAACCCGAACCTCCCGGCGAACAACATCAGTGTAGTACTCGTCACCATTATCTGCTCGATACACCAGAACTAATTCAACCGGTAAGTGAAGCAAAAAAAGTGGGGGGATTCTAGGAAAATGAATGAAATCCTGACCAGATTTGTGGGAGATCCAATGAAACCGCAACGAGCACCTAAAGCACCATTTACCTTGCGCCTCGCCGGTTGAACTGTTGCCTGCTTGTTTTTTTCCACCCCACATGATTAGTAGTAATTTAGTATACCTATGAAAAGATAAGTGAGGAATTCACTAACCAGGGTCCTGGCTGGAGTTGCAGAGATTTGGGGTCTTAGCCCATTGAATTGGGGGAGTGTTGTCAGTGCAGTTACTGCCATTGTCGAAGCTCAAAGGGGGATGAATGATAACCAGAAGCAGATCTTATTTATTTTAAGTTTAAAAGGGTCCATGAAAGTAGTCTACAGCTCACTGGAGCCACATGAGCAATTTGTGGCTTTGGGAAGACGGATTTCGATACGCTTAGATATTTGCTGGTGGATTGGCAGCGCTCTATTGGCCTATGCTCCATTTGGATAAGGTATCTTTAAAATTTTAATTTATTTAAAAATATAATATCAGAGTGCAAGCCAAGTTACTTCAACTATCAATGAAATATAATAATAAAAATAAATTTATTAATTGATTTTAATAGTTATTAGTTAAAAAAATATTATTTTTCTTAAAAAAATTGAGTTATGTTTGGATATATTATTAATAATTAATTTTTTAAACAAATATTATCTTCTCATCTTAAATTATTTAAAAATGCAATAATAAAGATAACATAATTAAGACATTAAATTGTTGGTAATTGTTTTTTTTAAAATTTTTATTTGAAGTGTTTATAGTATTTATATCGAATATTTAGTTTTTTTTAATTGTTTGAGGTTTTTGAAAAGAGATAAACAGCCGTAAGTATTAAATTCATATATTTAATATTTTCTACGCTCAAATATTAAAATTGTTGAATTATCGAAATTCTCAAATAATATTAAAATTGTTGGAGTATTAAAATTTGTCTTTTCGTTAAAAAAATTAACAGTCATCCAAGTTAAACATTATTGCTTTCATGTATTAATTCGACGATATAAATTTTTAAGTAATAACTCGATGATTTAATGTAAATATAGAGTTGATTCACAAAATATAACTCAAACGGTTATAAGATTATATTTTATCGTATTTCAGTCAATAGATTAATCTCTATCTTACACAATCACCAATATTTTAATAAAAAATAACATTTTTAAAAGATATAAATAGTTGTATGATCATTTTATACATTTTAATAATTATATAATTTAAACAAACAACAAGATCATCTTGTTATGTTTAATAATTGAGATATTCTGTAATTTACCCAAAAATAAAATTTGGAAGGCAATACGATTGGGCTGGGCAACCCAAAATTGGTCCAATTAGAATAATGAATGAATCTTATCAAACGCTGATATATAATGGGCGAACTTGTAATAAGCTCCCGACGGGTTCTTTTCTGACTCCGATATCCCGAGAGAAGATCATACACACAGGCACACAGCAAATTAGATCGAGGTAACATCCTTCTCAGATCTGTGAACACAGTTAGCTTAATTGTTAGTTTAGAGGATAACAAACCTATACGTGTCGAAATTTTCAAAACGGTGAAGGCTATATTCAGTCGTACTGTTGTTGTTTTCTCCCCGTCCAGTAGCCTAATTTTTGTTTTTATAGCATTGTTCCATTTTCTTGGCTTCCAAACGCTGCGGTTGGATTATTGATATTTGCATTTATATGAATGTTGCTGTATAGATCTGAGGTGGCCGATCTATTTGCTGACTTGATCTTCTGATTCGTTTTTGTTTCTTCATTTTTCACACATTTGTTATACGTTTCGTTTTAGATATTTCTAAATCCATTCCTCTTTACTTTGTCTTGATTCCATTTCCAGATTCTAATTTTGATTTTTCTAATCCTAACTTGATTTATGTTGTCTGCTAGTTTCTCTAATAAAGCTCCAATTTGATATTGGCTGGGTAGTTTGCTCCGACATCCAAGATGGTATATACCTTTTTCTTTATTTTCATTCTCCTTTTTTTTGTTTTAGTTGAATTGCAGAACAAGATAGATCCTCGTTTAAGTTATTTTTATATTGTTTATGCATAAATTGAAATTTTTCTGACGATTTAGGAGTAATTGAGAATGAATACTGAACTGTCCATTGCAACTTAAAGCTTCATGTTCTATTTTCGGCAATGATACAATAGTTTCTTTTATTTTTGTGATTCAGGTTGTACTTGCTGCTTCTGTTTTAAGTAAGTCCGGCAAAGGTCAGTTCATTTTTCTTGTTATAGTCGTTTTTCTCATGTCATTGTAATTGAATTGGTGAAGTGCAAATTTTGGCTGTCACATTGACATTCTTTTTGCCTCTCATTTCAGTGCTTGTCTCCAGGCAGTTTGTGGACATGACTCGCATAAGAATTGAGGGTCTTCTTGCAGCCTTTCCCAAGTTGGTGGGCACGGGAAAGCAGCACACTTATGTTGAGACTGAGAACGTGCGATATGTTTATCAACCAATAGAAGCTCTTTATTTGCTTCTTGTAACCAACAAACAGAGCAATATTCTTGAAGATTTGGAGACCCTGCGACTTCTCTCCAAGCTGGTGTGGTTCAGATGCTCTTTGATTTATTTTCTATGTTTTTTAAATCTTTGAACATAATAAGTTACATAAAAGTAAGACATTTGGTTCTTTATTTCTTTGATCACCTTCAGTAGTTGCAAGTTGACTTTTATTTTTTAGTTGAATGGGAAGCAGTGCAAATATAATCTCAGTTTCAGTTGTGTTTGTATTTAGCTACTCATTCCTTGTCACTTTTCTATTTCATGAAGTTTTTCTGTTACCTGAGGCTTTTTCAATTTTTAGCCTCTGTAATAGTGTTTTCTGTCTCAGCCCAGTTGAACAGAGCACTTACTTTATTCCTTTTCTTCCCCTAGGTACCTGAATATTGTTACACTTTAGATGAGGAGGGTATTTGCAAGAATGCTTTTGAATTGATCTTTGCTTTTGATGAAGTCATCTGTCTTGGGCACAAGGAAAACGTGACGGTTGCACAGGTTAAGCAATACTGCGAGATGGAGAGTCATGAAGAGAAATTGCACAAGCTGGTATTGCAGAGCAAGATTAATGAAACTAAGGATATCATGAAGCGTAAAGCTAGCGAGATTGATAAGAGCAAGGTATATTTATTGCAATATTCTTGGCCCTTGTACTATTGGTCTCTATGTTATATACTATATTGATTCATGTTGTGTATGCTGCAGATTGATAAGAATAAAGGTGATAAAGGAGGGTTCATGTCAATGGGCTCCGGAAGAATTGAAACTAGCTTTACTGATATGAGCATTTCTAGCAGTGGAAGTGGTTTTGGAAGTGGTTCTGGGTTGGGAGTAACTACTGATGTCGATTCCTTCTCTACCAAGTCTAAAGGTTTGTCTCATTAGGATTCCACCACATGCATTGGATTTGTCTTGTTTGCACATTTCATGGACTGAAAGCTTCAGTGTTATTCCATAAGAAATTCAAGACATTTTTCTCTCCTAGGTATGTTTAATGTCAAACAAACATTTTCTGACCTTATGCTCATATTGCCAGGCCGCCAACCCTCATCTGCAACTGCTCCTCCTAAAGGTCTTGGCATGCAGCTTGGTAAATCACAAAAAACAAACCAGTTCTTGGAATCCCTGAAAGCAGAAGGTGAACTGATTGTTGAAGATGTGCAGCCAAGGGCAGGGCAGTCCAGAGTGGTTGCAACTGCACCTACCGATCCCATCACTTTGACTGCTGAGGAGAAACTCAATGTCACTCTGAAAAGAGATGGTGGAATAAGTAACTTTGATGTTCAAGGGACTTTGTCTCTTCAAATTCTTAACCCGGAAGATGCACACATCCAAGTTCAGGTAACGTTTGGTTTTTACTGGTGTGAGAATTCATAGTCTGACAAAGATTTTGACTTAAAATATCATGCTTTTACTTTGGTGATTATCATGAAGTTTTGTTTGGCTCAAATATTTGTGATAGGTAGTTTCCCATTTGGCACCAAAAATTAGCATGTTTTCCTTATTGAAGAATGTGCTTTGAAGAGACAAGGATGCTGGTCTTTCAAGTCTACTCTTTTCCACACTTTTTAAGGCCAGTATCTTATTTTGGGTCATGGGATGTGATCTAAACTATTCTTGTTAATCAGGGTAGAATACTATTTTCTTCTAATTTCCTCCTTTTTTTTTGTTATCTCTCAATTGGCTAATGCATCTCAAATCCTTGGGTACATTTGCCTTAATTCATGTTGGTCTTAATTGCCATCGAAATACATCCTATTAACTCCATCACGTTACAATAAACATGTCCTCAAAGTGCAACATGTATTGCTTCTAAAGCCTTTATTGTGTTAGAGTTAACCATTTTTATTGCATGCTTTGTCTTCAAATTTTCTGTTACAATACCTTTCCAGCATTAAATTACCAATGTCTGTCCTTTATTTTCAGGTTGAAACTGGGGGTAACCCTGGCATTCTTTTCAAGACGCATCCTAACATGAGCAAGGAGTTGTTTGCCAATGAGAACATTCTAGGATTGAAGGACCCTAATAGGCCTTTCCCCACCGGTCCAGCTGGGGATGTAGCTGGTGTCGGCCTTCTGAAATGGAGAATGCAAAGTGCAGATGAGTCAATGGTGCCATTGACCAGTGGGTCTTGAATCTAATGCTACTTCTTATTCTTAGTAATATGATTTTCTATTGTATGCTTTGATGGTTAATGAGTTTTCTTTTCGGTTTGGTGCAGTCAACTGTTGGCCTTCAGTTTCTGGAAATGAAACTTATGTCAGCATTGAATATGAAGCTTCTGCCATGTTTGATCTGCGAAATGTTGTGATTTCTGTGCCTCTCCCAGCACTTCGGGAGGCACCAAATGTCAATCAGATTGATGGCGAATGGAGGTAAATTGAGATCATTTAATATTTCTAAGGAAGCACAAATTTTAGCCACGTGAGATTAACTAATTGAATTCAACTCAACTCCGCCAAGCCTTAATCCAGAACTCTTTGGATGCCTGTCTTCATAAGATGTTACTAACTTCGGGCGTTAGTGAAAGTGCCATGATGTTGTGTATCATAAAACGTCAAAAATTGGAAATAGTTTTTATCTGCACCATATCATTTTCATTTTCCTCTTTATCTTGCAGGTATGACTCCAGAAATTCTGTCTTAGAATGGTCCATAGTTCTCATTGATAACTCCAACCGCAGGTAGGTACATTTGTAACACTTCAAAGCCTCTTTTTGTGTTTAGATGCTTTTAAGATGCTATTGATTTATAAGTATTTTCTTGCTTCTGACATTGGCAGTGGATCGATGGAGTTTGTTGTGCCGCCAGCAGATTCATCTGTCTTCTTCCCCATTTCTGTCCGTTTTTCGGCAACGAGTTTATACAGTGACCTGAAGGTTTGATATGCAAACTTACTCATTTATTTGTTTGTTTGTTTTAACTTTGGATAATTGCGGACGTTTCCATTCGCTCGGTTCAAAAAGTGCAGAGAAGAAAAAAGTTGTTTTCTCACATTATCAAATAAATGCCACAGATTTCACATATTCGAGAGAATTATTGTAGGTTGCGAACATCATTCCCCTGAAAGGTGGTGGAGCTCCCCCCAAGTTCTCCCAGCGAGCGAATTTGATTACGGAGAATTATGAAGTAGTGTGAACGATAACTATTCAAAACAGTAATAACAGGCGGTGAGTTCCGACTGCAGTTTTACTTAGAGTTCACTTCTATCTATGATTCAAACAACAGCTGCACCTTCCTTTTTGCATCTTTATGGTATGCTGGACTAGCAACTCTATTGCTCCAAATCTGTGAGATTTTATGCTCATTTAAACGGTGTTATATCATTTAATTGAGGCTTTGCAGTGAAAGGCAATCATGTCTTTCTACTAGTAACCCTGCTATCATTTTTTAACAATTTGTAATAATCTTTTCATCGAGAAATTTTTTTTGAAGCATTGGCGAAATAGACCCCTTAGCAGCCCCTGTTTTCTCTTAAAAGTGTCCTAATGGTTTTTTTTTTTTAAGTTTTCAAGGGGTTAAATTAAAAATTTTAAAACTTTTTAAAGGGCCTAAAAGAAAATTTCCTCACCAACATCCCTCAGACTCCCATCACCATCTGCCCCGTTTAGTTAGGAAGAGACACCCACTTAAAATGTCTTGCTTTAATATCAAGCACTGAATCAGTTCATTACTGAGATACTATTCCGTACAGAACCTTTAATTCTAAGGCACAAATTAAAAGAGAACACACCATTGCACTGTACTACCTCAGAGTCCCACTACGGGTGGCACCATTCTCACATTGACTAACACCATATAGTCAAATCATGGATCTGGGATTTTCGCAAAACACAACCAGTTTATACATTACATTCTATATTTATATAGGCATGATGGCAAAACTAGTTCTCAATGTTTATCTGAATGGTCATTTTAGTTTATATATTTTAGCATTTTAACTCCAACAATTTTTTCAAAATAATTTATGTTAGTTGAAAATTGTTAATTGATTAACAGTCTTACATAGTATTTTTACATGTGTTTAATTTTTGATGTGACATATATCACATTATTACTTTGAGTGATGTATCGCATGCCTTGTCAACATATCAGATAACGTGATAGTGACATGTCAATAAAATGTGTTGACAGTAGGTTAAATAATAGTTTTCATCTATTAAGGGTCACTTTGACCGAATATTAAAACGTTTGAAGGTTAACATGTTTAAAGAAAATAGGTGCTACAATGACTTTTCATACAAACGTTGGGGGCTAATATAGTAAGAAAACAGAAAAGTCTCATGACCATTTAGCCAAGAGTGACATGGACGCTGCCCCAAGGAGGAGTGAAATATTAGACCCAAGCATCAATTTAACATTGCTTTGCATCACGGGGTTCATGAAATCAACCCCAAGCAGGTCGACAAGCGACATGTAAATCAAGATCCCAGCCGAAAGGGAGTTGAGGACTCCTTCCACCACTAGTGCTTTGGGGCTATTCTCATTGTACACTTTTGATACACCCATGCCCATGGCTATGCCCATTGGGGTTGTCAGTGAGAACAGCACCAGCATCATGGCAGTGGCTCTGTTCTTGAATTTTGCCTGCACTCACAGAGTTTGATTGAACCATAATCAATCACAATATGCAATAAAGGTGGTGATTATTTTGACAAAAAAGTTAATGTTCTTGCATTGTTAACGTACTGTAATGTATAGCTAGGTCTAGGTAGAACAGTTTTCTCTTCTTTTTCTCTTGATTGTTATTATTATTATTTGACTGAAATTTATATTCCCCCACTATTAATGTATTATATGATTGTTAGACCCCATTTAACAGTGTATTTAAAAGATGTTTTTGGAATCAAATAAATTTAAAGAAAAAAATGAATTTGGAAAATATTTTTAAATCCAGATGTGAGAATTAAAAATTTTAATTGAAAAGTTTGAGAAGAGAGAAGACCTGAGAGATGCAACCACCGAGGCCCATGCCTTCAAAGAATTGATGGAAAGTCAATGCAGCAACAAGAGGCTTGATTGTTTTGGCACTTTGGGATGCACCCAATGCCATCCCTATTATTACCGAATGAACCACAATCCCTACCTCCAACACCTTTTTCATAACAAATAGAGTTAGGATAAAATATTAAAAATGACCGAATTATATATTTAAATTTACGAAAATTTAAAATTTGTTATTATTTTTTTATTAATTTGGGTAAGTACAAGATAATATATATTAAAATATATCTTTTAATCATTTGACACTAAATGTTCACACTCTTGAAATTTCTAGTGCTCAAATTCGAGACTTCAAAAAATAACAATAATTTTTTTACAATTAAGGTCGCTCGATTTGTGCCTAAAAATTGCTATTAGATAAAGAAAATTGTGGCACATACTCATTCCATTTCTATTTTGTTTTTCCCCAACTAGCATGGAAAAATTAGGGGAAATGGGTGTTGGAAAAAAATTCAGAGATTTTGGGTTATATTGGATCAATTAGGGAAATAAGGTTGTTTTTATAGTACAAATAAAGTTGTTGAAAGTTAAAATCGAATTTGGTAAATTTAATAGCAGCCGTAGACGATTTTTTTTTGTATTTATAGGATCAAATTAAAAAGAAATTAAAAGTACATAGATTAAATGCAATTTTGTAAATATTGATTATAGTAAAATAAAGGATAAATTATATATTTAATCATCCATCTATTCTCGTGATTTCGTTTTGGTTACTCAACTAATTTTTGTCAAAATCATAGCTAACCTTATATTTTGGTTCCCCTTTAGTCATTCATTGTTAAGAAATTAACGATAATGCTAACATGTCATTATAAAATAATATCATGTCAACATTGAAAAATAAACAAATTATCATGTCAAAAATTTTATTTATTTTTAACAAAAATGTAATGTCACGTATGATTTTAAAAAATAAAATAATTGAATAATCAAAATAAAATTTTAAAAATAAATGAGTAACTAAATACATAGTTTACCGAAAAATAAAACACTAAGTTCAAAGAAGGTGCCAAAATTTATTTTTATAATACGGATTCAAAATGCAAAAGTAAAATCAGTAAAATCGTCATCAACTTCTAACGATTTTATCAAACTCATCCTTATCTATTAATGACTTCACTAATCATTATAAAATTCACATTATTTATAAAAAATATATATTATTAATATATCTTCATCTTAAAAAATATTTTTAGATATGTCAATATATACGTACATACATATGTATGTATAGGTAAGCAATAAACATATAAATTGAATGCATTGGTTCATGTTGTATAATTGATTGGGATTCATGAATTTAAGTTTATAAGATCAAGTTTGAATCATACTCGTAAATTCTTATATAAATGCCGTTGACTTAAATTTTTGTAACAAAAAAAAATGCATTTATAAAAGGGATGTTTACCTGTGAAATAATACGTTGCCGAATAAGATGATGATGATGAGGAGAAGATTCAGAGCTCTGTGGTACCACAGCAGATCCATGAGCATGTCCATGAGTGGCATGCGTATGCACATGAACATGCCCCTCATGCTCCCCCATCATCTCCTCGTCCCCATTCACCGGCGAAGCCTTATTAAAATGCGACTTCTTGTAGAAACTCGTCGCCAACGTGTCGATCATCATCGTACCGATGGCCGCAACCATGGCGAGAAACCCCGAGAAAGGGAAAACCCCCCAAGGCTTTTCGCTGAGGCAAGGGCTGGACAGGGACCCGTACCCGTCGGGGAGTATGTGGACGAACGCGGTGGCGAGAATCACGCCCGCGGCGAACGCTTTGATCAGGAAGAAGACGTTGTTCTCCGGTCGAAACGTCGGGATCTTCTTGGCGAGGACCGGGAGAAAAACGCCGAGAGCTCCGGCCATCAGGATCGACACGATGGCGACGAATTTGTATTTCAAAGCCTTGGTTCTGTTTCCGGCGTCGTGACGAGGATGAGAGTGTTTGGTGGTGACAAGTGGATGGTAAGTGGACTGAATGACGACATTATGAGAAATCCGAATATTAAAAAAAAAAACTATTCAAATGCCTTTAATTATTAAAATTCTAAGCGTCTTTGTGCTCCTTTTAGACGGCTGATTACTCATCAATCACATCACCCACTCACTGTCACTGACTTAAATTATGATTTTGGATTGTTTTCTTATATATATATAAAAGTCTTTCATTTTCTGTTTTTTCAATTTTGTGTTTTTGATTCTTTTTAACTTTAGTCTTAAATTTGGTAAATTCCTTTTTTTTTACTATGACATTATAATATTGGGTAAAGTTCACAAATGGTCCCCGACTATAGATTATTATTTTATTAAATCTCTCGACTATTAAAAGTTATAAAATGATCATCTGATTATAGAATGTTGTTTTATTAAGTCCCTCGACTATTAAAAGTTACAAAATGATCACTTGAATATTCAATACGTTCCAAACTTTTTCTTTTTCGTTAAAAAATTGACGGTTATCTAAGTTGGATATTAACACGATGACTTAGATATGATAATCGTTTGAGATTCTATGATCAAATTTTATCATACCACAATCAGCAAGTTAATATTATACTATCGATAAATCATTTGTGTATTTTACCTTATAATCTTATACTGTTGGTACCAAATTTGTCTGGCTCGAGCCCAAACCCCCTAAATTCCCATCAAGTCCAACTCCTACGGGCTTAAAACTAATACCTCAATTAACCTAAATTTAAACACGAAGATTTCATCAACGTCTATAAAATTTTAAATTATCTTATTTTAAGTATTTTTTATGTTTTATATTGATTATCTTATTTCATACTCTCTAAAATTTAATATTTTTTTTTAATTTTATACTTCTAAATAAAAATTTCTAGGCCTCTCCCTACATTTAATAATCAAGAAATACATCCAACAACCCAGAAATTCTCTTTTACACCTTCACTGAAAAAGCATACTGTTTGGCCTTGGTGATTTCCAATTATTGATGCTCTTGTTCGAGAATTCAAACGGTTAGGAAGCCAACATTAATAAAAAAAAAGGCAAACATATCTCGGTTAATAAACCGAGTTATTTATGTGTGTATGACGATCATCTTATTGATTGAGAAATATCATGATATATCTAAATCAGTGCGAGAGCACTTTAAATGTTAATTGGATGTTGTTCTGATGCTTCATAACTTAGACACATCCCAGATACTCTAGAGGAGTAAGTTAGCGAGGTGTTACATATTGATGCTTCGTGACCCAGATCTCACCCTACGTACTTGGCAATGAGGGTCATTTGGACGTAAGATGTTGATGCTTCGTAACTCAAATCTTACCTAGAGTATCTAAGTCGTAGGCTAGAGGGGTGTGAGTTTTGTGATGTTGAGTGACCCCGTACTACATCTTGATGTTTACTTATGTGTGTATGTATGTCGTAAACTGAAGGGGTGTGAGTTCTATATATGATACTAAGCGATCCCGAACTACAACATGATACTTATTTTTTGTTGTATGATTACTATTGACGTTATGTGAGATTGGATACTATCATTGTGTGTTACATGATGATGCACAATAGTATGATGTTGAGGCCAGATACCTAGTATATGTTTACTCATGCGAGGCCTTATCAGAGACTAATAAAAGCATAAGACTCATATTATAATGATATAATTGTTAAACCTTAAGTGACACTTGATTATGATCATGCATGTACTTATTGCTTATCAATATGTCTTCTAGCATGCTTATGATTATGAGATTCATATGTTGCTTTATATTAACGATTATACTACTAGGTTTTATAAGCTCAATGTTTGGATGTTTCGTTCGCAGGTTAGTATGTTGAGCCGTTCGAGGAGCACTGCCGTAATAAGATTTCTAGCATTTTTCATAGAGTACTGTATAATTATTTGTAGTGAACATGTGTATTAATACAATATTATTATATTCAGATTTGTAACTTTGAGATTGTATTATTTTAATTTAAACTATATTTCGTGGAGCTTCGGTTTGTAAAAAATATTTTATAATTATTATCGATGCCTTTTCATAAATACAACGTTTTAAATTAAAATGTAAAAAATTTGAGGTGTTACATTAATTAATGTATTCTCATAAGCAATAAGATGTCACCCCGACCTAAGTTGACCCTAGTAGAATAAAAGATTTCGTCAATGCCATAACTTCTAAAGCTACACCAAAAGAGATCTAAAGTGATGAAAAAATCGTGAAGTTAAATTTAAAGAGATATATTATAATTTTATATATTATTATATGTTGTATCAATAATAATTTTATTTTAAAATTTAAGTTTAGAATTTAAATTTAGTTTATATAAATTTAAATTCTAGAATTAAATTAAAAATAAAATAAGGTAGATCGAATCAATTTTCAGATTCGAATTAAATGCATAAACTTTTCGACTGTTCATACATATGATGCACCTAGTCGTAGTAGAAATCGAATAATAAATGAAGAAAGTTGGAAGCCGATGAAGAAAAGCTTCCCAACCTGTAACACCTCCAACCCGTACTCGACCCGGATCCGAGTCTGAGGTGTCACATTAATTTTTCAAAACATTTACTTGTATAAAATAGTGAGTAATTTAAAATTTTTATACATGTAACTTATTCAAAAAATTTACAGAACTATTCAGAACTTATATGTTTTTGCAAAACCGATCATAGCATATACAATTCAAAACATTAATTACATGCCAATTATTTTCAATGTACAGAATACATCTAATTCAAAACATCTTTTCTGATATGATCTTCGGTAAGAAGTAACTGACCTGTCTTGCTCCACTTTGCTCTTTACTCTTCTCACTTCTGTAACCTACGTGTGAAATAATCACACGCTAAGTCAATGACTTAGTGAGGCAAATAAACATAAAATATAAACTATAGCTTGTAATCATGCATGAACAATTACTACTATCACTCATACCCTTATTCATGTAACAAATCCCTATAACACATATGCAATATATCATTACATATAAGAACATATACTCATCACTCATCATTTCCATCATTAGCCTTATTTCATTATCAATATTATTATCGTTTATATCACTTAATACATATCCTCTTATACCTAGCATTTTAACCAACATTTGACTCATTTAATCATACAATCCACATATTATCATATAAATCATATAATACCATTCATAACACAAAAACATACAAGTCACATGTAATATATTTGTTGTTATTTCTTTATTAGCCCATGTACACATGTGAGAACTGTAGATATGTGAGTCTATTGAGGTTGTGCACTATACTGTCACCACAGCTCGTATGGGGTCCCACTAAAGGCTATGACATTCGTCCCGAATGACCACTATGAAATGTCCCTAAGGACCGCTATGTCCCGAAGGACTGCGTAGACCCTCGACTCTTGGCATGCCAACTATACCTCTAGCTCTCATGTCACATAACATTGGCATTAGCATCATATCATTTCACATATTCATATAAACTTATAGTTTACTGTCACATATCACGTAGCTTATGTTGCATAACTTGTATCACATATACACATTCATCTCACATGTTCATATAAGCTCATAATTTCTTTCACAATTACATATAATCATATAGCTTCTTTTCACATAGTTTATGTCACTTTTCATATCATTCATTTATCACATATAACATGACTTAATATATGTTTACATTCTTTTCCACCTACTCACATTTACCTCTCCTCATATCTCATACATAATCTCTATCATCTATACATTCATTCACTTATCTTGTAGTTATGTATCATATTACATAATTTAACTTATATCATATTATCATGTGTACATATACCATGGACGCTGAACATGTATCATATAAACATATATTCACACATATCATTAACACATATATAACATATCAAACATATGCTCATATTAATGAATTCATGCATTTTACTATAGGAAATAGACTTGTCGCAAGTCTTATTTCCATCAACCATCATATACTATCGAATATGCACTCACCTTGGCCTCACTAAGTTCCAATCCACTTTTATAATTTCCTCTTTTGCGATCGAATCTTAACTTGATAATCGTTCCGGAACTTGTTCGTGCTCGATATCTATATAATCATACATTGATACATATCAGTATCCAATTTATATATATTAATCTATCATTTCTTAGACCGAAAGAAAGGTATAATTCTATTTTCCTTTGAAGTGCATCGATACATTCTACAGTGCATCGATGCATTCTTTAACATGTGCATCGATGAACTACCTATGCATCGATACACCAATCACCTTCGATATTTTCATTTTAAGGGGGTGCATCGATGCACTCCTTATGCATCGATGCACTAATTGCATTCGATGTTTCCATTTTTAATGGGTGCATCGATGCACTTCCTGTGCATCGATACACACTGAACAATTTCTGGAAATACCCTTGATGCATCAGTACACATTGAATGTGCATCGATGCACATAGCCCAAAATTCATTTTTAAGCCCGAAAATCACTCCAATTCTACTTAAACACTTCATATTACATCCTCTACCATATTCTTAACTCTCATATACACATTTAAACTCATTTCTACTCCTTTATCACCCTTTAAAACTCAAATTTTTTTTCTCCATATGGAAATCAATTATCATACCAATTTTTCAATATGTTCTTAATTCAATTCTATCACTTCATATCTCTTAATTAAGTTGATGACAAGTCAAATTTATCTTCTAATTTGAGTAATGAACTCTATTCCAAGATTTCATTTGAAAACTCTTAATCTTTAATCTCTCCTAACTCTACCATCCTTTGCTTTTAAGATAATTTAAGTTTTCTTTAAGCTTAATTATCATCTAATGATCATAAACAAACCTTGAATTCAACAAGAAATTATCTAACAAGATGACTTACCTTTGCAACCTTGGTTCACGATGGAGAGAAAGAAGAAAGATGAAGAGGACTCTGGAATTTCCTTTTCCCTCTTCCCACGTGGTTTCCTTATCTTATAAGGGAAAATAAAAATCTTCCTTGTCAAATGATCATTTTACCCTTTACTTCATTTAATAATTACCAACCATCCCTAAAAAATATTTACAAATAAGTCCTTCATTTTATAATCTTTTGAAATCATACTTCAAAGTTTCAAAAATTTCATTTTAGTCACTAACTCTGATTTTGAGATATTACACAACCGCTCTTGACCCAACCCGGTGAGCCGATTTCGCCGCCGTCTTTCCCTCCGCCGGTCCGGTTTTTTGCAAACCAAACTGCTCCATCGGTATTTGGTACAGACTCAGAACAACCGTGGAAATACACAAGCCAAGCCTAGCATTTAATGTTTCTGTTTTCCCTTAAACATCTACCTTTTCTAGTCTCATTTAACATTCCCATCTACTCCTTACTTCAACCTCAACCATGGTCCATACCCCTCGCCCTCTCTTTCTAGCAAATACTTATTCTCTGTTTGGTTGCTGAGAAACCCTGAGAAAATGAATTGAGAATAGGATTCTCTAAATAGAGTGTGTCTTCTATATATACTCATTAGCTAAATCCAGAAGAACCCAGAGTTTTGTTTTCCTATTTTGGTCTCTCAGCTTTTCCTTGTACCTGCACATGGAGTATTAGGGTTCCTTAGGAGAGTTTTGAATGATAATTTCCACCCCTAATTGGCTTTGGAGGTTAGTGTATATTGTCCCTTGTTGATTGAATTACTTTAACTCTCTGCCCTATTTGCTTAGCCTTTTCAAAGCATCTTCAGTTCTTTCTTTCCATAACCCACATTTTTTGCTACGTATAAAGCGTGTGATATTTTTTGTGTGTGTGTGTTGAATTGTGATCAATTCGTTAAAGCTTGATTGGTAAGGGACCAATTTAATAGTTTTGATATTTTTGTTTTGCCTGTTTCTAGGATTAAAGAGAGTTTTGTGATGGCTGTGAAGCTTGTGCGTCTGCAATTTGTTCTCTTAGTTGCTTCTTTTGCTGCCCTGCTTATGGCTTCCGACACTGTAAGATTGTACAATCTTATCATTTGCAAAAATGAAAATGTCTGCAAGTTGTAGAGTTTATTACCTGTATTCGAATATGAAGGTTTCGTTTTGGTTATCATTTTGGTGTTTTAGGCCTCTAATGGATCGGCTGCAACGTTTAATTCTTCTTCCAAGCATGAAGGTAATGAAGGTGCCGGATTTGCACATTTGCTTGTCGAATTCGTTAATCTTTGGTGGTAAACATCGTCATTTTTTTTAGATTAAGCTGTTTTGTTTTGTTGGGTCATGTAGCAGCAGGATGCCCCTCTGGTTGGGTTGTTTCTCCAAATAAAAATGTGTGCTTTGGATATGATGAAAGTTTGCGGTCATGGGATGAGTCAGAGATCCACTGTAAACAATATCGTGGACACTTAGCGGCCCTAACATCGTATGAAGAACTAAGCTTTGCACAACTTCTGTGTGGCCAATTTGTCGACGGTTGCTGGGTTGGAGGAAGAGTTAGCAATTCGACGGTCGGTTCTGGTTGGAAATGGTCTGATAATACATTGCTCTGGAATGAATCAGCTATTAGATTACCTGCACAATCCATTTGCAACAAATCATTATGCTATGTCAACAGCTCATTCGATTTATGTACATTGGTGATGAATGGATCGGAACCTCTTGTGAGTGAGAGATGCAATGCTTCTCATGCTTTTCTGTGCATGGTTGATATTGGTAAGATATATGGTTATTTTAGATTTTCCTGAGTAGTTGCTCGATAGCGGTCTGTTCACCGTATTAAGTTGTTATATCGATCTTTCCTTTCTACTATATATGACCTTTTTTGCCGTTATTGAGATTATATTTTTCGGATTACAGGGGGAAAATGTCACTAAATGCATTGCCATAAGGAATATCTCATTATCCTAGCCATTGTTAGTGGGTTGGTTCTCTGCACAACATTTGCTGTTGTTGTTTGGTTGCTTGTATATAAGCGGAGTAAGAGGCGTAGAAGATCTAAGAAACTATCAAATCCTGCCACTTCTGCATTGGTTCCCCCCTCATGGAAAATCTTTTCCAGTGATGAATTGCGGTCGATCACGAAAAACTTCAGTGAAGGAAATAGGCTTCACGGAGATGTAAAAACGGGTGGCACATACACTGGCCTTCTGCCTGATGGATCGAAGGTAGCGGTTAAGAGGTTGAAGAGATCTAATTTTCAGAGGAAAAAGGAGTTATACTCCGAAATTGGTAGGGTCGCTAGGCTACATCACCCGAATTTAGTTGCCGTGAAAGGATGCTGCTATGATCATGGCAGCCGCTACATCGTGTATGAGTTTATAGTAAATGGACCATTGGATAGATGGCTATACCACATCCCCAGGGGTGGTAGGAGCTTGGATTGGACCATGAGGATCAAAATTGCTACAACTCTTGCCCGGGGAATTGCGTGAGTACAAACACTAGATCTTTCTCAGTGGATTCTTTTGGCATCTCCATTGCTGCTTTTGCTTAGAGAATTTTTAATACTTGCTAAAAGAATTTCTTTTACTTATTGATTATTCTCTTTTAAAATAGGTTCCTGCATGACAAGGTCAAGCCACATGTTGTGCACCAGATATACGTGCGAGCAATGTACTACTCGATGAAGAGTTTGGAGCCCATCTGATGGGGGTTGGTCTTTCGAAGATTGTTCCACTGGAGGTAATGCATGAGAGGACTGTGATGGCCGGTGGAACCTATGGATACCTTGCCCCTGAGTTTGTTTATAGGAATGAGCTCACAACAAAGAGTGACGTGTATAGCTTCGGTGTGTTGCTGCTCGAAATTGTTAGTGGGCGTAGGCCGGCTCAGCAAGTTGATTCAGTGGGTTGGCAGAGCATATTCGAATGGGCAACACCTTTAGTGCAGGCCCATCGATGTCCAGAGCTCCTGGATCCTCTCATTTCTTCATCAACCTCTGATAATCCAGAAGCTGGCGATATTCAGAAGGTGGTGGACCTCGTGTATGCTTGCACGCAAAACGTCCCTTCTATGCGGCCGAGAATGTCTCACGTTGTTCATCAATTGCAGCAGTTGGCTCAGCCAGCCGCCGCAAAGTAGCTTAATTTTATTTACAGCTCCAGGGATTTTTGCCGGAGCTTAATTTTCTTAGGAATAGTTTAGAGCTACCTTAAGTAAAACTAATTCCAATAGAAGACATGTATTTTGTGCTGTTGAAAATGGTTAAAGAAGATATTTTCAATGTTACAAAAGATAACTGTTTCTGCATGACACCTACTAGTTATATACTTATATATTAATCAATATAAATAAGAATTCATGTGGAAAACCCCTGATGCCATTAGAGACATTCACAAATCCCTCTTGTTTACTCAGTTACCCAACTAACCTTACTATGACAGGTACATTAAATCAACAAGCTTACTTGGGGCTATCAGTCACATATATTCCCCTTTACTCCAACATCTTTTCATATAAGGTGGATGTGTTTAGTACCAGCAGTCTGCCACATCGTTCGGTTGTTGTAACTGCGGTGTAGCACTAGGGGGTCCTGATGTTTTAGGATATCCTCTGAACCGGTCTTTTCCAGGTTTTGCTATTTCGACATATATCATCCTGCCATCAAATACCTGACAAACATAAAACTCATATTAAAATCTAACTAGAAATATTGCCTGCAGATCTAAGTTATGTAACTTAGAATTTCATCAGAGTTCTCAAATTCAGGTGATAAAAGTATGTTTGATGAAATAAGAGTTGTTAACAGTGATAAAATTAACAGTAAAGGAACCTTTTCATCATGTAAAGAGAACAAGAACCTCTGTAATTATGCTTCACTCAACGGGGTGAGAGAAGCTAGGTGTAATCTACAAATAGTATTCCATACGTCTACTTTTACGAAAGAAAGAAAGAAGACATAAAACCTGTTGATCCATGTTCTCTACGCCGACCATAGCCTCATCCTGAGAAGTGTATTGAATAAATGCATATCCTTTTGATCTTTTTGTGAATTCATCCTTGACAAGCTTAACTGTTATAGGTAGAAGTATTAGACTTTGAAGCTTACACAAGATTGAAGATGAAACATGTTATCCATTAATTCCATTAAACTATGAGAAATGTCCCAATCACCTTCAGCTGTTTCGCCAAAATTGGCAAATTCCTTCTGCAAACGGCTTTCTTTGGTAGAATATGGCAAATCTGCAGGAAATACACCCAAAAGATGCCAGGACATAAATTAGGGAAAGACAAATGAATACAACTCTAAAATACAAAGAGCAAAGAATATCTGATGGAACTATTCTTATCTCTTTATCTTCTTGTAACAGAATCAAGTCAATCTGATTCGACTGAAACGAAGCTAGGAATTTATGGTTTTGTGTCAATTTTTTCTCTCAATAATGGATTCCATCATCACAAACAAATCCATACTAAGCTCTTTCTAGTTTTGGTTACATACATAGTGAAAATACTAGTAAAATCGCAATATTCCCAACCATCTTTCAGCAAACCTGCATTCTTTATTGGCAAACTACTCTTAATTTGCATATATTTATATGAAAACAATTTGAAAAGTTTCATGCAAGGACAAAGAGGGATCTCCTCTAGGGCCGTAAATGAGCCGAATTGAGTTCGGGTATTATTGAGCTCGACCCAAAAGCTCGCGAGTTTAAAATTATCAAGCTCAACTCGAACTCGAAATAAAATATTGAAACTTGAAAAAACTTAAATTCGAAACATTGTCAAATGTAGCTCGAACTCGAGCTTAGTTCAAGCTCGAGCTCGAACATGCTCTCAAGTACATGAAAATCTTATATTGTAATTTTTTTAAAAATAACATATAAATACTAACATTATTAATAATTTAATTTTAAAAAATAAAAATATAATATATATTTTTTAGTTGGTCACGAAGTTTTCGAGTTGAGTATTAAGTAGTTTGCTCCGGCTAACTAAGAACTCAAGTTGAGTTCGAACTCAAATCAAGTCCATTCAAATTTAGCGTTAACCGAACTTATACAAGTCAAACTGAGTACCTCACAGTTTTGTCTCATCTTATTTACGGTCTTAATCTCCTCATCGAAGCCAATTCTCTTGCTTAACAAGGATGTATTCGTTTCTACACAAAAACCGATATCCGATAGTGCGAAGTCAGCCTGTAGAGCTATTCTTATTCCTATACCTTTTTGCCTATATTTTTTATCATCAGAGGAACAAAAACAATCAACATTCAAGATAACAGTGAAGAGCTATATCCTGATGGCATATATTTGACAGGCAATTAATCAAATTTGTGGGGAAAAAGAAAGCGAAAATGACAAGTAAAAAAACAGTAACTGTAAACAAAGAGAGAGGGGTTTTACTCGTAACGAAGATTCTGCTAGCAAGAGGATAGTCAAAGAGCGATGCTCTTAGCCCGAGGTTCAAGCCTCTATGTGTTCGACGATTTGCCGAAATGGGAGAAGGGAAAGAGAGGTTGGGTTTGCCGCCCACATGACCACATCGAACTGCGCTTCCTACTATCCAGACACTCTCGGGGACGGGAAACTGGTTTCAATTTTGATCACTGTACTATGAATTTTGTCAATAAAATCCCTAAACTATTACAATAGTTTCAATCTATAAACTACAGACAATTAACTGTTAATAAAAAAACTAACATAATAATTAAATAAAATTGTCAAATTATATATTTCATCGTTATAACTTACATATTCTATTAATTTAATTATATTATTAGAAAAAAATAAAAGAAATAAAATGGAACGAGGACAGGAAATTGAACTTTATTTATTCATTTTTGGTTACAAAAAGTTTGGTTCAGGGTAGCTCCCCCAGTACAGGATCTGTCATACTTAAGACCCAATTAGGATTTACATAGGAATTTACCATCAAAAGTGACGATGGTAGGATTCGAACATGACCTAACAAGCTTAAATTCTTGAATCCTAACCACTTGTGCCAACCCTCATAGGCGAAATTGAACTTTATTATGAGATTGGGAGTAAACACATTTTAACTAATAATTAAGTTAAGTATTTGATGTTTTGTTAATAAAGTTTTATTTTGAGTTAACATCTACGATAATTAGTAAGCGATTATTTTTAATTATGAAATTATAACAATAAATTTGTGAATTAAGATGAAAGATGGTGTTTTTTTTACCGATAACGTGATTATTAATATTGAACGAGAAATTATCAAAACATTTACTTTAGAACTAATTTTTGAAGATCTTATTTATTTAAAAATGTTATTTACAATTATAAATGATTTTTTATAGTTGTTTTGTTTCATTAAATATTTTTATCAACAAATGAATTTTGAGGGTTAATAAGTTTTTTATTTGGCTTAATTATAAAATAAGTGTCCAAACTATATTGTTTTTTCTAAATAGGTGTCTAATTTTTTTTTGAATCATCCAGGTACTTAACGTTACAAACGTTACCACTTTAGGTGTCCGACTCGTAACTGTCGTTAATTTTCTCTGTTAAGTAATATGTCAAAATTAAAATTATTATTATATTTATAAAAAATCTTAATTTCTTTTAAATTAAAAAAACACAAATACCTAAATTCTTAAATTCCTAACCCTAAGCCGTAACCCTTGTCTGCCACGACCACCCCCACTAACGTATTCCCTATCATCTTCCCAGTCATACACCGTCATAGTTGTCACCAATTGGATGTCAAAATCGTATGAGGTCGTGATTTTCAGCCTAGGGTTCACGGAGTACAAAACGTCAATTAGCCGTTGATTGACCACGATTTCATAGGATTATTGATCGTCATGGGAGGTGAGGTCGGTGGAGCTTCGTCGATGATAAATGGTGGTGACCGATGTTGGGATTAAGGGTTGAAATGAAGGGTTTTAAAGTTTTTGGTCTATTTTAAATTTTTTGTGTTTTTAAATATATTTTTATTTTTTAAAATTTTAAATAAATTTTTTTAAATTACTAAAACGTGAAATGTGTCCTTTAGCAGCAAATTTTAACGGCAGTTACAGCTTGGACACCTAAAGTGATAATATTTCTAACGTTAGACACATGTATGACTCAAATGATATTTGAACACCTATATGAGAAAAGTAATATAGTTTAGGCACTTATTTTATAATTAAATCTTTTTTATTTGATCAGAAATCACTTGGGATGAGGATCTGCCTCTGCCTCTGCCTCTGCCTCTGCCATCACTACTACCACCCACCATATTATGTGTTTTGGAAAAGCCCCCTCTCCTCCTGGGCTATTGTGTTTTGGAAAAGCCCTCTCTCCTCCTGGGCTATTGGGCTTCTAATGAACACCTTTTTTTGTATTAGAAAAGCATAATAATTCGTTGAAGCCCTGACACTAAAACCCTTAAGCGATGATTCCAAAACCCCAAAGTACTTCTCTTCTCCATTCTGCCCTCATCACCACCGCAAACGCCCAACAGGACTCTGTATTTACAGAAGAACAACACAAAATAAGCACAGCCAAGTAAATAGGAATCCGATGAGTACAACAAAAAAGGCTTTGAGAGCTCTCACGTATCTTACTTCTCTTCATACTTACCGAGTCCATAGCTTCCACCGCCACCAGCATCATCATCATCGTCATCATCTTCTATTTGTTCGTTTGCTTTCAGCCCAATCCAAGCAACGCCAAGATGATTCCGATGACTCCCACCTCAACAGCAGCCCCGATTCTGTCTTCGACAGTGGCCAATTTTCTATCCCCGATACACCACGAAGTACTCCCCAACAACCGACATGGGATGTCCAACACAGGAAACGAATAGAGCGTGAATTATTCAAAAACGATCTCCAGGACCGCTACTTTGAGGACGAGGAAGAGGAGAGGAGAAGAAGGGTTCTTGCCAAGGCTTTGCTCGAGGCAGCTTTGAAGGGACCGGACGAGGACGCCGAACAAGACCTAGAGGTCAAGGAAGAGGACCAGAAGTCTCTCTCCGTTGGGATTATTGGCGCCCCTAATGCCGGGAAATCGGCCCTTACTAATTTTATGTTTCGTTCATTATCCCCTTTTTTTTTTGGAGATTAGCTCATTAATTCATATCAGAACTAATTAAATGTCTGATGTGTTTTCCGAAAGGTTGGGACCAAGGTTGCTGCTGTCTCACGGAAAACGAACACAACTACTCATGAAGTGTTAGGGGTCATGACCAAAGGGGATACCCAAATTGTATGTTTCTTTTTCATTTATTTCTATTATTATGCTTTAGCTACTTTTTGGGTTGATAAAGCTCTAATCTTTACTAATTTAGTTTTCCTTATAAGTGTTTTTCACCTCTCTATTTACTCATTTGCGACATACAATGCAATCTGTTTTACTATAAGACAGAATAATATTTTTACAATTTGTTTTACTTTTAAGAATTTTAGAGGTTTCATATCTTGTTATTGAGACTTATTGATACTAATTTGGAATTAAATTTCAAAATTTGGATTGTGAGAATTCCCTGTTCACTTTTGTGGGGAACCCATTATTGTTGTAATGCTCTTTAGGAATATCATTCTACTAATTTCAAGCATGCATTATGCAGTGCTTTTTTGACACCCCCGGACTGATGTTTAATAGCAGTGGACATCTTCACAAAGATATGAAGTTTCGTGTCGAGAGTGCCTGGAGTTCAATTAATCGCTATGATGTACTCATAGTTATTTTTGATGTCAATAGGCATCTTACAAGGTTAGTGGTCCGATACACAGCTGATATTTTCATCTGTATTTACTTTTATATTAAATTTTTGTTGTACACCTTATTGTTGATGTGCTTCTGAATTTGTTTAACATTGATTATCTCTTTTGCCGCCTAACATATATTTTTGTCTATTTAGCTCGATTCCAAGATTTCTTTGCTTCCCTTCTTCCAGTTATTCTCCCTGCTTACTATGCTGCTTCATCTGGAGTGGTTGCTGATTCTATTAACTCTTTGTCTTCAGCGTGTCCTTTTGAAATCCACTGTAGTTCATAGCTTTTCTTTACCATTTTGTCATCATTGTAGATTTTATGTTCCTTAGGGTTTGGGGGGGGGACTTCAACTAAGATCTATCATCAGCCATTTGTTATATGTAAGACTATACTACATGTTCTTATCTTTGTGTGATTTACTTTAACTTCCTTCATGAGAGTGATTTTTTACTATCTAACAAAACAGTAATAGCAGGTTGATCTAACCTATTCCTAAAAGGATAAAAGTCTTCAAGTTTGATGTTCTGACTGGAACTTGAGGCACATAGAATGGGTGATGAATGGTTGTGCACTAAGAATGCAGGCGGTCTTCGTCCTGTACTATTGTGAGCTGCAAAAAAGTTTTTCTTGGGCCCTCACCTTAGAAGTATATAAATAAGAAAGGTTGTCCTCCTGATAATATCATAATTTATTATTGTTGTTTTTAGCATGAGATTGCAGCGGTTTTTATTATGTTCCTTGTGTAATGCTTGGTTTTCCATTTAAATAATTTTAGCAATGAATTATTTTTACTGCGATCATTTTTAAAAAACCAACACATATCCTCTTGAATAATATATACTTCAGATGGAATTCACCCTCTTACTCACAAAATGTATTTATCAATTTTTCTAGCTTGTCAATTTCAATATAATGATCTCTTCCTGTATGCCTTTTATCATAAAAATTTGGGCATTTCAGGTGGGTGTTGGTTTAATGGTATGACACATTGTCTTTATATTCTAAATACTTTTACGTATTCTAGTATCTTTTTAAATTTCCTGTCTAATGCCGAGGTTGTTTCCTTCATCTTGATTGCTGATCATGTATATAATAACTCATCCATACAGACCTGATTCAAGGGTGATAAGATTAATCAAACGTATGGGAGCAGAAGCAAGTCCCAAACAAGCACGGGTTTTATGCATGAATAAGGTAGATTTGGTAGAAAAAAAGAAGGATTTGTTGAAGGTTGCTGAGCAGTTCAAAGATCTTCCTGGCTATGAAAGGTAGGTTTTCATGCTACAAGGAGTGGTATCTCCTTTTAGGATATAAACCAAGCTTGCTTAAGTTAGCTTCTGATAACTTCTACTTTAACTATCCTCCAGGATTTTCACGATCTCAGGATTGAAGGGTTCTGGTGTAGAAGATCTTTCTGGACATCTCATGGAACAGGTTTTTTTTAAAACTTCTATGTTATGTCCTTGATACATGCAATTTATTCTACTTATGCAGTTTATCTGGATTATCTTTTGTCCTTTGACATGGCATTGCGTAATATCTTTCTAGTTAACTATGTTGTTCATAAATATGTCTTCAGCCAAGATCATTTTAGCATGATGGTAAAGATATTCAAATTATATGTTGCCTCTGGACTCTTCTGAAGGTGTGGTGTTATGTTTCTATTACCAACTTTGTTTGTCAAAAGTCTATAATCTATATCTTCATCCTCTGTTATGGTTTTTCCTTTTCAACCTATTGTTTTCAAAAGGATATATATGCATTTTTATTTTACATTGATTTGCTTTACTGGATGAATGGGTAAAGAATAACATAGCTGGTGGTTGTTAGGTACTAGGATCTGTGTCATTGCTTCATTTATGCATTTTCCCACTTTTGGATTCATTTTTTTACTTCAAGTGACTTCTTCGGCATTAACACCTTCTTAGCATGCTTCCGTGGAATGGTTGAGCTTGCTTAAGTTTTCTTCCTACCTTTGCATGTCCTCTTTTCTTCTATAAAGTAACACAAATTATTCAGGATCAATGGCATTTTTTTCCCGTAGGCAGTTAAAAGGCCTTGGGCTGAAGATCCGTTTGCAATGAGTGAAGAAGTCATGAAGAATATTTCATTGGAAGTTGTCCGGGAAAGGCTACTAGATCATGTGCATCAGGTAAAACTTGCGTGTTCATCTATAACTTGGCTTTTGGTTCATACTCTCTCACGCTAGAGGGGTGGCTGGAGAGTTCTGTAATGTTCACAGATCACAAGGACTAAAACTTTTCTTGCTCCAGGAAATCCCATATGGCATTGAACACCGTTTGGTAGACTGGAAGGAGATACGAGATGGGTCTCCAAGGATTGAGCAGCATTTCATTACTTGCAAAATAAGCCAGCGAAAGATTCTCGTGGGAAAGAATGGCTCGAAAATAGGGTAAGCTAGTTCTGTATCCAATTAATTTCTTCTCAACGTTCTACTGGTATTTTGGTCGCGGGCAACTACGGCTCTCTGAAATCCGAATGCAATCTCACCATACAACTATTATTTGATATAAAACACAGGAGAATTGGGATTGAAGCAAATGAGGAGCTAAGGTCTATCTTCAAAAGGGATGCGCATCTCATTCTTCAGGTTAGAGTTAAAACATAAACTCGGCGAAAACATTGACGAATGTCCAGGACCGCACACATCTGCAATACAATCTGATGTGTATATCCAAAGGGTAGGCAATGCAATTGTGCCATCTTTTCCCTAGGGTCTTATGTACAATTGGGGACCTTAACGTAAATTTTCAAGAGATCCCAGTTTTTCTGTCCTTCAATGTGCCCACTTGTCCTAAAATTGTGTGATCCAAAGTGTTGTATTCATGTCTGATTGCATGAAAGCTGTAAGGCGAGGGCTTATTTAGTTAATTAATTTCCAACTTGAACGATTGTTGTTATTTTATTGTTCTAAATAAAGATAATTCCTTATTTTTATACATCCCTTTTTATTTCTTGCTCGTTCTCCCTTTGTATTTGCCAAGATTTGGGAGGGGACAAAATTGTTCTCGTTACGGTGACTAAATCGCTTTTATGGGCAAATTCTTCAAATAGTCATCCAACTTTTGTTTAGTCATCGTTGTAACCGTTAGAGTAATTTTTCATCTCATTTTGTACCGTTAAATTTCTAAAGCTTGATTTAACATATTATCTTCAGAAATTTTCATTTCAATTCTGACGGTCAAAATTTAACGTTTGATTGGACATTTAATGAAAATAAAATATATTTTGAAGGAACAAATATAAACGATTTGTGATGTATTAATCTGTATATGATATGTGTTCAATTTGAATTTATATAATTTTTTTTATTATTAAGATAAGGTGATTACAAAATATTAACTGCTCTAAATACTTTCAACCATTGATTCCTTTAATTATTAAGGTAAGTTGGTTTGTGTAAATTTATATAACTTTTTCAAATAATATAAAAACTAAAATTTTATATAATAAAAACTCGATTTAAATTTAATAAATATGATATTCAATTTGAATAAATATAATTATTTATACTTAAATAAAAATTCAAAAAATACAATCAAATTTATCTCAAACATTATAAGTTTAGTTAGATTTAAAAAAATAAAATTTTAGTTATAAAACAGTAAATTTAATTTTTTGGGTAAACTATACATTTAGTATTTAAACTATCAGTTTTGGTTTGTTTTAGTACCAAAACTTTTAATTTTTTCAAAAACCATATCTAATGTTTAGTTTTGTTTCATTTTAATGCATCATCGTTAAAAACTTAATGACACCACATTTTTTATGGGTAAATTACACCATTCATCACTCAACAATCTTCTCACTCCTATTTTGGTATTAAAGTTTAAAAATTTTCAATTTAACTACTCAACTTTCAAATTACTCCTATTTTAATCACTATTTTATTTTATTAATAATTTTTGTGACATGACATTTTTTTTATTATGTTACTAATATATACTTAAAAATAAAATAAATAAATTTGAAAGTTAGAGTGATTGAATTAGGAATAATTTGAAAATTAAGTAATTAAATTTAAAATTTAAATTTTAGTGACCAAAATAAGAGTAAAAAGATAGTTGAGTGATAAATTATACAATTTATCCATAAAAAATGAGCACATGAAACTCACTCGTTAATTTTTTAAAGGTGAGATACTAAAACGGAAAAAAACTAAATATTTTACATGATATTGGTACTAAAATGGTCAGAAAGCAAGAAGAGAACGCTTGGCAACAGAAATGACAGACAAAATGAGAGAGAAACAGAGAGATGATCGTCTATTGGACTAATTAATAATTCAGGGAGAACAAATTCATTCAAATTAGATTATATTATTGGCCACTGTGAAGGGAAAGAGAACAAAGGCCACATACATCAAAACATGCTTGTTATACTAAACGGTACTACAGATGCTAATTAGAAAGACTAAGGTGGTATTTGTTTTTGCAGGTAAAAGGTCTACTGTTTGCGGATCACATCTGCAGGCATCTGCAGCAAAAGAGGTGGACCAAAAGTCTACAGTCTGCAAGAAGAAAACTGTTTATTTTTTAACGTCTGCAGACTGCTAAAATAAACTGAAATATAAATAAACTGATTTTTTAAACTTAAAAGAGTTTTGCAATAATGAAATTTAAATAATTTTAGTTTTATAATACTGAAATTTAAATAATCCATACAACTACAATAATAAATTTGTTAAAATAAATCAATCCATATTTTAAAATAAATCAATCCATATTTTAAAATAATTTTTTCTATATTTTAAAATAAATCAATCCATATTTTAAAACAAAATTTTTCATATTTTAAAATAAATTTTCCATATTTTAAAATAAATCAATCCATATTTTAAAATAAATCAATCTATATTTTAAAATAAATCAATCTATATTTTAAAATAAATCAATCCATATTTTAAAATAAATCAATCTATATTTTAAAATAAGTCAATCCATATTTTAAAATAAATCAATCCATATTTTAAAATAAATTTTTCATATTTTAAAATAAATCAATCCATATTTTAAAATAAATCAATCTATATTTTAAAATAAAATTTTCCATATTTTAAAATAAATCAATCCATATTTTAAAATAAAATTTTCCATATTTTAAAATAAATCAATCCATATTTTAAAATAAACCAATCTATATTTTAAAATAAATCAATCCATATTTTAAAATAAATCAATCTATATTTTAAAATAAATTTTTCCATATTTTAAAATAAATAAATCTATATTTTAAAATAAATCAATCGATATTTTAAAATAAATCAATCCATATTTTAAAATAAATCAATCCATATTTTAAAATAAATCAATCCATATTTTAAAATAAAATTTAAAATAGATTTAAATAATTTTAATGTTATTTGAAGATGTTTGAGACATAAAACCATGTCTGCACCAATAAAAGCTTGCACAGATGTTAGAATAGCTTCTGTCTTCTAAAAAATAAACGGTCTGCGAAGTCCAATGTCTGCGCGGCGCAGATATAATAGTTTTGCAGACCTTACACAGTAAAAACAAACACCACCTAAAACTAGTTTTAAGACAATGAAAAAAGCAGTGTGAATCAACTAAGTAGACTAATGACCGGAGTAGCAAGCCTAGGCTCATAAGCCAGACCACGCAATTCAACATCTTCACCATTATTATCATCACGACCAAGGTAAGGGTGAAGATACTAATTTTTTACCCATATTAATTAATTATTATTATTATAATAATAATAATTATTATTATCATTATTATTATTATTATTATTAAATATATTAAATAAATATATAAATATTATTAAAAATAATTAATTACAAACCAATTTTCTGGCCCAAACCAAACTGAAACCCAAAAACATTTAGGGTTTCAGTTAGGGTTTCCTAACCCTAATCCCATGCTCAGCCGCCTCAGCTTGCTGCCGTTGGATCTGGCAAGATCCAACGGTCCAGATGGCTCCAGATATAAACCCTAGGGTATGATACCCTAGGGCCACGCGGCCGCCGCCGCTGCTCTCGCCGCCTCCACCGCTGCCACGTCCCAAACGAAGACTCCAGAAGACCCAGCTGCCCTCCACACGCCATGGCTAAGGGGTGAGTCACCACTGGTAGTCCGGTGACTCACCGAAACCCCCTCTTCGGACCGGTCCGATGGCCACACCGGTGGTGGCTATAAAAGCCACCACCCGAACCTGAAAAAAAAAGAACCGAAGACAGAGAGAAAACAGAGAGAACGGGGACAAAGACAAAGAGAGACAGAAAATATACGAAAAAAAAACTAATACCAACGATCTCAGCAGCAAAGAAACAGAAAAGAAAGAAAAAGGAAGAAGAGAAACTCACCGAGGAAGCCCTGATCACCGGATCTCACCGAAACATTCGAAACACCGAAGGTAATTTTGTAGATTTGCTCCGATTAGGAGCTTTTTAAGGAAAAAGAACACCGGAAACGTCCTTAGGACATCCCGATCTATTTAACGGTGTAAAAATAAAATTTTCCGGCCACCGGATGCGGTGGCCGGCGGTGACGGTCACGGCGGCAGACGGTTGCCGTCCGGTGACCGGCTTCCCTCCGATGAGGGAAGCTAGAGAGAGGCCAGAGCTCTCTCTGCTTGAGAGAGAAAGAAAAAAAAATGAAAATGAAATGAAGGCTGGCCCTTCGGGCCAGCCGTTTTGGACATTATATAGGCCTTCCCGAACGACGTCGTTTCGGGAAGGACTATGCGCGTAATTAGATAATAGTTAAACCCCGTCCGCAGTCCTCCCAACTTGTAAACTTTACATTTTAGTCACTAAATCGAATTTATAATACTTTTAATTTGATCTCGAAATTTTAATTTTATTTATTTTAGTCCTTTTTGTTAAAATAATATATTTAGGATAAATAACAGAATTAATCCCTTAATTTTAATAAATAATATTTTAATCCCTAGTTTATATTTTTAATTTATTTTATTCTAATATCCGAATTTTAGATGAGTTTATTTTAGTCACTAAAATTAAGAAATAGCATGTTTAATCCTTATAATTCTGATTAATTATGAATTAAGTTTTAATTTTACTTTTATTATAATTTAGTCATTTATTTTAAATGTTTTCATTTATTGTTTTTAAATATATAGCTCTAATTGTATTTTTATTTTAATTTTACTTGTTTATTTATTTAAATATTTTTATAGTCATAAATATATATATAATAAATAAATATTTATTTCAAATAAATTATTTTAATATTTATTTTTTTATATCGAAGAAAAGGACAATCTTATTACAACTGGATGTCCTATTCTGGTATTTTAAAAATTAAATATTATAAAATAAAATTATTATTTAATTTTATGTAAATTAATCAATATCAAAGAAAAGAGCTGTCTTAAGGCACCTAGAAGTCCTTTTCTGATATTTTTAAATATTTTATATAATTTTGAAATAATAGGATTATAAATTAAATATTTTTTTGAATTTTTAAAAATTTTAATAATAGAGACAATTTATAATTAAAAAGTACCAATTTTGGGCGTTGTAGGGGTGCTAATCCTTCCCTAAACGTAACCGACCACGAATCCCTTTTTATTATTAAAAAGAACGAATTTTTGGTTATAAAACGCAGATCAGTTCATTTTTTTATTGATGTTTTCTTAAAACTCTTTTTAAAAAAAATAATTTTTAGGTATTCGACCTACCTGATCCAAAAGGCCGATGGCGACTCACAAATTATTTTCAAAATTATTTATTCACATCAATTTCCCCGCCAAGTATAATATTTCGTGCCCGGACGAAAACCGGTTACGACAGCTTGGCGACTCCGCTGGGGACCGGTCAAACTTTTAAAAATCAATTATAAATTGTCTCTATTAATTAAAAATTAAACATTCATATATTTAATTTTTAATTCTTTCTTTTCAAATTTTTTTATTATTTAT